GCTGGCTGCTGTAAGTTGGGACATGCCTGAAGGGTCAGCTAGCCTGTTTCTTGGCCTGGCTTTGCTTTCCCTAACCACTTGCACAGAGCTTGGAGGTCAGCCAGTAGAAATTTGGGGTTTTCTCATGCCTCTCCTGAACATAGACCCATCTTGTGTATGGATGCAGTCTCCTAAATTCTCAGAAACACATGGAAGCTTTTCAATCCCCTTATCCCCCAAAGTATCATCCTCCAAATCTTACTTTCAAGCTTCTTGGCATATATTCATTCTGTTTGCTCCAACTGATAGCCGAGGTTCCGGGTGGCAGCGTCTAATTCATTTTCCTTTGGAAACGGGTCTCAAGGAGTCCCATTCTACAGCTGTCTATAGCTTTGTCCTTAGAGAGTTCGGTGTTAGGCAAAATGAAGGCAACCCCTTTGTGTTAGCTTTTCCGGGATCTCCTAAGCGCATCACAACAGTTATTGAAAAGCAAGATATGCTGTACTTCCTCTTGAAGCAAGAATCCTCCTGTGAATTCAGAGCGTGTTCTTTAAGGCCTCCACCAAACTAGGCAAAGTAGGGATGGGAGAAAAGGTAAGGTGACATGTCACACTGCTCTTCCACCCTATCCACCCTATTTGCTTGGGTGCTATCAGCTTTGACTCTTTTTTTTGTTGTTTTTTGCGGGGGCTGAGGGGTGGGTGCATGGGATTCTGTGGAGGAATGGAATCCTGGAGTTTCCTACTCCAGCATTTTATAACTGCTCAACCAAATATATTTTTAAAAATATGTATTTCATATAGTTTTAGGGCACATGATGGGTGAGTGGCCGCAGGGAGATAGTCCCAGATTTAGGGATAATCAGAAGAAAACAACATCAGTATTTTACTCCCTTTCTGTGTTTGTCATGAATGGGGGGCATGGTTTGGCCTGTTTGTCACCACTTTACGCCCTGAGTGCTTCCACGAGGATTCCCAGCGGGGACTGCTGGGTTGGGCCACGGCTTTTGTGGTTTCCTGATTTTGGCAGTGTTTGCGGGAGGCTCGGTTTGAAGGCAGTGCCTGTGTGTGCACCTGCGTGTCCGTGTGCACATGCAAATGATTGAGAAGGCCCACCTTGCAGAGGTCAGCTTTGTCCTTGTGTGGTTGATTTCTGGCCATACCCCCTGCACACAGCGCAACTACACATTCTTTCACAATCTGCATTTGTAGGCACCGTCTTTTGAGGTTGAAGCTTTTTGTGTGTGCATGTTCAGATGAACCCCCCTGTATTAGTCTAGGTACTTTGGAGAAACAAATCCACAGCAACTCACGTATAAGAGAGAGTTTTATGCAAAGAAAATGTGCATCACGAAAACATCCCAACCCAATGCTGCCCAAGTCCGCAAGTCCAACATTAACCCATACCCAA